CATGTTATTTGTTGTTATTTATGGCTAATGTGATTATTATTTAACATTGTTGTTAATTATGGCTAATGTGATTATTATTTAGCATGTTGTTTGTTGTTATTTATGGCTAATGTAATTATTATTTAACATGTTATTTGTTGTTATTTATGGCTAATGTGATTATTATTTAACATGTTTGTTGTTATTTATAGCTAATGTGATTATTATTTAACATGTTATTTGTTGTTAATTATGGCTAATGTGATTATTATTTAGCATGTTGTTTGTTGTTATTTATAGCTAATGTGATTATTATTTAACATGTTTGTTGTTATTTATGGCCAATGTGATTATTATTTAAGTTATTTGTTGTTATTTATGGATAATATAATTATTATTTAACATGTTTGTTGTTATTTATGGCTAATGTGATTATTATTTGTTGTTTGTTGTTATTTGGTATGGTATGATAAAAATCCAAAAAAGTTCAATCTGGTCCTCTGGACATTCAAAAAAACAAAAGCAAAACAAAGCAAAAAAATAAAAAATAAAAATCTAGAAACGTTTCGTCTCTCATCCAAGAGACTTCCTCAGTCTGAGGTGCTGTTTTCAGCTCAGTCTCTTAAATAGCACCTTCACAGAGTGGATCAACCAGTTTTGCTGCTGACAACCAAAACCAGCTGATCACATGCTCAAGAAGGACCATCAGCCTAACAATGGGTCATTAGCACACTGATGGCTGTTTACTACTCACAGAGGACCTCAGACTGAGGAAGTCTCTTGGATGAGAGACGAAACGTTTCTAGATTTTTTTTGTTTTTGCTTTGTTTTGCTTTTGTTTTTTTGAATGTCCAGAGGACCAGATTGAACTTTTTTGGATTTTTCTACCTGGATTATTGAGCATGCATCAGGATGGTATGATAAAAAGTTTATTCATTTAAAAAAACAAAACAATTCCATAAACTATATAAAAAATACAAGAGATTTAAAATGAAAGGCAGCAGAAAGAAGAAAAAAATCTTATTTTATCTGCCCCTTTTTTCAAACAATTGGTTCAATCATAATAATCTTCAAGTAACAGAACAAAACAAATAACTCTTTCTAATTTTTCTAACACTAATACAAAAACACACTAAGCTACTTCATATATTTGTTTTTAACAATCCAGTTTTGATCGTTTTCTTAAATGTACACATTCCCTTCCCTTCTGACTAGTTCTGAATTTTGGTTTGACAAATATCTCTATCCCCTTAAGATTATAACAACTTTGCCTTTTAACAAAATTTATTTGGATATTTAATGGTAATGTGTTATTTTGAGCCCTATACATAACTGATAAAATACTGTAATCTAACAAATCATGGAACTTCAGTAACTTCAGTTGATAAAATAATGTGCTTGATGGGTGACTGTAATGCTTTCTGGTGATAATTCTTACAGCTCTTTTCTGTAAAATAAAAATAGGCTTTGTAAATGTTTTACACGCTTTCCCCCAAACATCAATGCAATAGATTAAATGTGGAACAATGATTGTGTTATACAACATGTACAGAGCTTTATCATTTAATAATTCCCTGACTTTGTATAGTACTGCAATAGATTTAGATATTTTTGTTCTTACAGAATTTATGTGATTTTTCCATGTTAGCTGTTCATCAATGATTACACCCAAAAATTTCATCTCATTAACTCTACAAATCTCAACACCCTCAATTTTAAATGGATCATCAACAGTTCTCTTTTTGTTACTAAATATCATGTATTTAGTTTTATCTAAATTTAAGGATAATTTATTAAGATTAAACCATGTTTGTATTTTATCAAATTCTGTCTTCATCAATTCCAACATCCGTTTTACATCTTTACCCAAACAGAAAAATGTGGTTAATTGTTTATTGTTGTTGCTGTTGTCCATTGTTGTCATCTTTCTTTGTTGAAATCAGGTCTCTCTTGTAAATGAGTCCTCGAGGCTCAATGGGATTTACCTGTCTAAATAAAGGTTGATTGATTGGTGTCATCTGCAAAAAGGACACATTTAAGGAGCCCTGATACATTCACTAAGTCATTCACATATAATGGGATTATTATAATTTAACATGACTGTTGTTATTTATGGCTAATGTGATTATTATTTAGCATGTTATTTGTTGTTAATTGTGTCTAATCTGATTATTATTTGTTGTTTGTTGTTATTTATGGCTGATGTGATTATTATTTATGTTGTTTGTTGTTATTTATGGCTAATATGATTATTATTTATGTTGTTTGTTGTTATTTATGGCTAATGTGATTATTATTTGTTGTTTGTTGTTATTTATGGCTGATGTGATTATTATTTATGTTGTTTGTGGTTATTTATGGATAATATGATTATTATTTAACATGTTTGTGGGCAACGCCTGCAGAACTTGTATTGTAATCGTGAGAGTGTGTGATAAATACGATGCGTTTTCAGTTGTTTAAATCTCATCTCAGCTAAAAAAGACCTTAAATACCCATACATGATTCTAAAATGAGGTTTTCTGCGTGTGCAGGCACTAAATCCCTGAAGAACACCTTCTATAATGTCAGACAAACAAAAAAAATTATAGACCCAAAATGTACACAAACCACCAGGTGACATCATTGTGGTTGGATCCAGCTTTTATCTACTAAATAATCCCCCCACAGGAGAAAGGAGGCTTACTGTAGGGAGGATACACATATATTCTGCACCGACGTCTTTCCAGCCATTGTGATGTCTGCAGAGGGAGAGACTGGACGTAGAATGAAAATAAACTACACATAAACACTAAAAACTACTGCACCAAAAACAACCCCAATTTGTAACCCAGAGCACAGTCTAATTTGAACCGAGCCAACACAGAGTATTTTTAACAAGCAAAGTGGGTTCATTTTATGGACTCACGTTGATTTAAATCACTAAAGTCATTTAGTTCACTTGAGTCACTCAGAGATGTTTCTTTTAGAATTTCCCAAACCAATAAATGACTTACAAAAAAGATACTGCACAATTTAACAAGCTAACCAAAATGTTAACTTGTGTTAAATATTTTTATTACCTGCGTTACCATCTGTGAATGACTCATCCGAGTCTGCAGCGTTTCCAGTGAGTCTTTAACTCGATTCAGAGACCCAACTCATCTGAGTTCGTAGTGTTTATGGGGCTTCAGCTGTTTTTCTGGAGAGCGAGCTCAACTGAATCTGCTCGAGGAGAGGACATGTAGGATTGGGGTTAAATGATTCCTCAGACTCGTGAGTCCTGACTCACTTTGAGGATTTGAATCACTAACCCGAGTGAGTCAGGAACTGACCTGCTCTACAACTCAACAGGGTTGGATTTGACAGCAGCATACTGGGTGAAGTTTTGGATTTAATTTCTAATATTTCAGATACTAAAAGATAAAGAAAAAAAACAATATTTTCTTCATTGGTCAATAAATAATTAATCTGAATTGGTGCTAGCTAGCTGGAGCTAATAGCTATTAGCGTTAGCTAGCTAGCACTAATGTAGGACCCCAAACTCACTGTCCAGAGTAAACTAGTAATTTTTAGAAAGCCAACAGTGTTAAACAGCTTAAAATTTTTTATTTTTTTATTTATTTTTTTTACAGCTTAAAGCAGAAGTTTAAAATGGCAGACTATGAAGAATGACAGCCACCACTGGGTCAAACATTTTGACTCAAGATTTGGTCAAACTCATTTAACCTATGACCCTGCAGCTTTAATTCGGCAAATATAAAAATAATCCAGCAATATTTAGTGTGTGATACCATCATTTACTAGACATATGACTGCAATGACAAAAAAAAATATATATATATTTGTATGCCTCTTTTATTGTCATCACTCTTTGTTTAAAAAAAAAACCAAGTCTCTCTTGTGAATGAGTCCCCCGGGGCTCAATGGGATTTATCTGTATAAAAAAGGTTGCATGAATGAAAAACAATAGTATGAAACAAAGTAATATTTAGGTGATGTAACTATGTCAAATATGGTTAAATGAAGGTGTAAAATGAAGCCTTGGAAGCTAGACGCCTGCTACTTGCCTTCTCTCTCTTTGGGAGTCTTCCTCTACCCACTTGTGGTGGGAGGATTTTTTATTTTAGAACTCCTAGATAAAAACTTTATTTTCAGTTTACATTACCTTGTATTTCTTGTTTGTGTCTCTTTCAGTGGGATGAGGTGAGTGTCCTGAATGACCAAGGGAAGCTGATCCGGGCCTTTGACGTCTGTAACGTCAATCAGAATCCGCGCCAGCAGGACAACTGGTTGGCTACGCCCTTCCTGTATCGCCAGTCGGCTCCACGGATGTTTGTGACGTTGCGTTTCTCCGTTCGTGACTGTGCCAGCCTGCGAACGCCGTTGCCCACGTGTCGAGAAACACTCACCTTGTACTACAAACAGGCCGACTCCCAGTCGGAGCTGATGAGGACCTGGGTGGCTGAGGTGAGATCAAACACTGAATTTGTATTCTGATTATAACTACATCCTCTTACTTGTCTGTCTAATGGTTTGAAGAGGAAACAAAACATTTTGTTGCGTTACCCACTGCCTCCTCCAGACTGCTGCAATGGTCTAAACCAGGCGGTGCGTTTATTAGCCGGTCACCATCACACACTGATTTGACCGTTGTGTGGTGCATGTGCAAAGGGGTCAGTGCTCACACGGCTTTAACATCCCCAAGGATAAATCTCCTGAACGTCAGAACAAGGAAGAATCCCCACAGCTACATTTGAACAGACATGTTCAAGTGTAGCTTGAACAGACAGAGGAACAGTGAAAGCTTCCCAACACATGCTGACTAGGAACATGAAACATAATTTTTTATTTCATTAATTCCTCTGGACACTTCAAAATACTAAAAGATTTATTTTAGTCACAGTTGTGTATGTTTAACCAATGTCCTAAAGCGATAGTTCAGATCTTTTGATGTGGGATTTTCTGAAAATGTTCTAGAAAATGTATAGATAGCTTGTTAATATTACCTCAGGTTTGAAAAATAAGAGTTTAATTTTGACCAAACTGATGAGCTAATGGCTAGTCTGAGTGGAAACAGATTGCTGCTGACTTAAAACAAATTTCGTAGCAACTCATATGAACCCCATTTTATAAATCTTGCCATACACCACCATCAGTTTTGCATTAATTGCTTGTTTGCATAAAATGTGATGATTATTAAACTAGCTGTTAGCTCATCAATCAGGTCAGAATTAAAATGTTTCTCCCAACTGAGTTCGTTCAAAGAGCCATCTGCAACAGGTAAGATACTGATTGTTCAAAACCTTTCCACAGAACTCCACTTCAAAACGTGAACTACTCCTTTAACCTTGTGGGTCTTTGAATGAAACAGTTTCTGTGGTTCTTTCATATCAGTTTGTAAATCAGTGCTCAGTTTAAACCTTTCCAGACGTATTTGGAACCACTGCAGCCAGAAAGCACTCATTTAAAACTCATTCACCAGAGAAATGTGCAAAAATATGTGCTTCTAAATTATTTTAATGACACACTGAAATTATCTTTATTATTTTTATGCACATTCCTGGGTCCAAAAACTGCCCTGGAACATCAAAAGGCCAAAACAGAAAGCAACTTAAATTTTGGTTTTCTGTGCAGTAACATCTAAATATCACAGCTTTGTGTGTCAGTGTATCGTGTTGCACACTGGTAACCGGAATGCAAAACATTTTGATAAAGGTCTAAGAAAGATTTAAACAAAAAATAAGAAAAGTATATTAAATGAAGTTAAAAAAAATTCTCAACTCAGGAGATCCAACTCTTGCAAGGAGGTCTGCTGCCTTGTAAACTTGTAGGATCCCAGTCTACATTGTTACTGTCTGAACCCACAACCTTCTGATCTTGGTGAAGGACCATGTTCTCCTCAAAACATCGTACATTTTCTCTTTATTTTTTTACATTAAGTTCATTTACTGTATGTACATCAGTTCGGATCTTCCAAATAAACTTGAATGAGCTCTCCAGTTGGTCTGCTAACATTTTTTTATCTCTAGACTAATGCTGCACAGAAGAATGTCAGTGTTAGCACTGTAGTAATATTTACATCTGTAACTTCCAGCTGTTTCCATCACATTTAAAGCTAAATGAAGAAGTCCAAAGCTTTTTTGATCAAGAGAAAGACAGATAATCCCCTGCAAGAAGAATACAGTATCACCTAACTTTGATATGTTCTGTAACTGTCAATGATCAAATAATCTTGTTTTATAAAAGTTTTCAAATTTGGTTTGATAATGTATTTATCTATTGGGTTTGCATTTTGTCAAATCAAACTGTTCTTAAAGTCTGACCAGGGAAACACTGTGTTTACAACGATCTGGGTCATGTTTAATGTATAGAAATCTTTTAATTCGGTCTTGCAAATGTTATGAGGCAGCGACATCGTTATGATTAATTATGTGGCCAAATAGAATTTAAAAGTATTACTTCCTCCTGATTTCAGTCCCTGCTTGAGGCATAGTACTTTCAGAAAGAATCATTACAGCCTTCATTAGTGATTCATTGCTGTTAGCGTCAAAAATGCAAAGCCTCTGTTTTTTCCTCTCTTGATTATTAAAGAATTGACTCACAAGTAACACTTGCGAAAATGCAAAATTCTGTCAAATTGTTCTCCATAAATGTCACACAATTAACAAGCTTTAAGCACTAAAATATCACCTGCTGTGCAAATAACTCCATTTCTTAACATTTTCTAAGCAGGCTTCATGTACAGAAGTGTTTAAATTTGTAACTATTTTAACCTTGGTAACCATCACTGTCACACAGGGAGAGATGCAGTTTTTGAACACGGATCCATTACAAAAACTTTTTTAAAAATGCAAATCAAACCCTGATGAGAAATGAGAGGGAAGTCGTAAAGAAACTGGAAGCGATGCAGCAAAGAAAGTCTTGACAACAACTTATATTGGCCTTAATTTGTTATTTATCTATTCTAATAAAAGTTTTCTTTGTGACGTGTGAAAACTCCTAATTACTTAAAAAAATATGTGTTTATTGCATTTTTCACCTAAGAACGTTACCATTATTTTACCCGTGCAGTGCATTCTGGGGCAATGACATACATAGGTTGTAGTGGAGACTAAAATGCAAGGAGTCGTCGATGAAAAGTTACACGATTTGGCAATAAAGTTATATTTTGTATTAGTCCTTGTGCACAAAATATGGGTCAAAACAATCAAATGTGATCAACTTGTGATGTTGAATTTATAAGCTCTGGAGCTAAACCCTAAAACGCTTCTGTCGTGCATCCTAACCCCACCCCCCATTCTGGTCAACAATTGCAGGCACTAACATAGTGCTACGCTAGTGTGCAACACTGAGGTGTCTCCCCCTCCTCCCCCCGTACCATCCACAATAAACCCTGAAGAGATGAGCGCCCAACCAAGCCGACAGAGGAGAAACACTGCAGACTGTGTGGTGACTTGTTGTAAGAAACCAGGAAAACCTGGAGTGGACTTTTAGTAGTTTGTGTATTTTCCTATTAATCAAGTGGAATGGATTTGTTCACGTAGAAATAGAAACAGTGCTGGGAGAACTAATACAGTATTTCATGGTAAATGTGTGGGGGTGGTGGTTTCCAAATGAATAGTTTTTAAATGTGAGGGACACATCCCTTCACATATAATGGATGCGACGCCTGTGGCTCTGGGGCTAACGTAAAAAAATATTAGCTCTGGCGCTAACGTGAAAGCTGAGTCATTTCTGCATTCTCCTCTCTGTCAACACACTCTAGATCAAATTACTGTAAAGGGCTGAACGTCAGATAATGTCCAAAACTAACTTTCAAACTGAATGGAGCTTGCATCGAAGCAACCTGTCTACTTAGCTAGAATGCATTCAGCATAAATAAAATGGCGATGTCCATGGTCAGTTATTTTTTAAAAATGATCAAAACTAAACAGCCTACAATATTTTTCAGTCTCCTTTTTATAGCTGAAGTAATTTATCAAATAAGATATATTGTTCTATTTGGAAGTCCCTTTAACATGAACCCCCACTGGGACCAGCAGAAACCTGTCAGCCTTTATCCTCCTCACCATAGACTCACGTAGACAAAGATGGTTGTAAGTTTTTACATTGTGGTGTTGTCTCTTTAGCCATCTAGTGGAGATAAAGAAACGAGGGAGGGCTGGGTGAAGATCGACACCATCGCAGCTGATAAAAGTTTCTCCAAAGTGGAACCCAGTTCACCTCACCAGTACCAACCGAACCGATACAGTCGCATCAACGTTAAGACACGCAGCTTTGCCCCACTCACACGTAATGGGTGAATATCTCTGTAATACATTTAGTTTCTTTTGTTTTTCCACTCCGAGAAGCTTGATCTTCACCTCTGACCTCTGTTTCAGATTCGTCTTGGCCATTGTCGACAGTGGAGCTTGTGTGTCCCTCATGGGGGTGTCCATTTTCTACCGGCGCTGTCAGGCCACCAGCCTCCACTTGGCGTCCTACCCGGCGACACCTTCGGGTGCAGAGCCGACTGCTCTGGTGCCCGTGACAGGGACCTGCGTCCCCCACAGTAAAGCACAGGGGGGCACCCCCCCTCGCATGCATTGCAACGCTGAAGGAGAGTGGATGGTCCCCGTCGGAGGATGTGTCTGTGACGAAGGACATGAGCCAAACATCAACGGGTCTTCCTGCTTGTGTGAGTCCAGCCAACTGTGATGAGCTTGATCCTTAGAGTGAAATGTCACAGTTTAATTCAAAAAATTATTCTCTAAACGATTGCATCGGAAGCTCAGATATCTCTTTTGTCGTCTGAGTAGGTCAAACACAGATGCATGGAGAAAAAATGGTTTGACATTTGGGAAAATACTCTCATTGGAATCTCCTTCTTTAATGTCACTGCTTCTGGCAAAAAAAAAAAAAAAACCCCATCACATTAGTACATCATCTGATAAATTCACAATGTACTCTGAATATTCTTGGTTTTGTTCCCAGACTTAAAAATAAGTATTAACTTCTAAGCTTTAAGTGCTGGTAGACAGATTGCATTTGTCTTTTAAATAGTTTTTTTTCTTCTGGGTTTTCCATCTGTGCTAAAATAAAGTCAATCTCTCACTGAGTGACTGCTGACAACCAGTTGACCTAACAGCACAAAAAGTACAGAAATTTGTCTTTGGTTAAACATTTATTTGCTGTAACAATACTTCTTGGCAATAACTCTTATCCCATTGAAAAGCCTGTTTATTTTCCTTTAAATGGTGCTGCATATGTTAGAAAAATCCATTTTTTGGGTTGAGCAGAAGAGTTGAGTTTGTGGATTGCATCCATGAAACACTTGCCAAATCTTCTCTGTCCAACTGTTTATTCTGCTATTGACTCTTGTTTGGTGTTAATTGAACTGAATGCTTTATATCTGAAGAAACAAGACATAATGGCAATGTTACAGTTTATTCAGTTAACAAATATACCATACCATACCATACCAATTTATTTATATAGCACTTAAAACAGCAACAAGGCCAACCAAAGTGCTGTACAAAAGAACACAAACATGCACAGCGGACAGGAAAACATAAAATAGAAATACAGATACAAATAGCAGCAGAAGCTAACTAAAATGGCCAACAGAGTAGAGAACAGACCGGACCAAAACAAATCACACCGTGTTAAAGGCAAGCGAATAGAAGTGGGTCTTCAAGCGAGACTTAAAGACTGAGCGTGTGGGAGCCTGCCGGACACTCAGTGGCAACTCATTCCACAGTCGTGGACCTGCAACAGAGAAAGTCCTGTCACCTCTGAGCTTACGACGGGTTTCTGGGACTGAGAGAAGCATCTGGTCTGCTGACCTCAGAGAGCGCGGTGGGACATATGGCTGCAGAAGATCAGTGAGATAGGATGGGGCGGAACTGTTCAGTGATTTAAAAACATACATGAGAATTTTGAAATGGATCCGAAGGTGAATGGGTAGCCAGTGCAGGGAGGCCAAAACTGGCGTGATGTGCTCTCTATAGCCTGTACCAGTTAAAAATCGGGCTGCAGCATTTTGGACCAGTTGTAGACGAGCAATGGAGGACTGACTGATTCCAAACAGAAGTGAATTGCAGTAATCAAGCCTAGATGTTATGAAGGCGTGGATCACTGTCTCGAGGTTCTTTTTGGAGAGTATAGGCTTCAGCTTAGACAGCCGTCTCAGCTGAAAAAAACAGGATTTGACCATCATGTTTACGTGACTGTTGAGTTTTAAGGACGGGTCCATTATCACCCGTCCATTATGGGCCTTAGTAGCATGTGGAAGAACCATACACAGCCTCAACAGCATGGCACATCTCTTTCATGCTGCTTACCAGCTTGGTAACACACTGCTGTGACAACATCTTAGCATTTGTCTCAAGTCAATCAATGTAGTTTTGTTAGTCACTCTGGAACGAACATCTATCCATCCATCTTACGTCAAAGTAAGTTGTATGACAAAGAAGATTTAGCAGTTTTTACGGGCACACCCTACCTTATCAACTCTGCTGCTGAATCCACAATCCCTTACGAACGTGGCACCATTTAAAGGGAATTAAACAGGCATTCCAACAATGTAAGATTTAAATCCAAGAAGATCTGAAACACAAATTTATTTACTGTTTGTGCTAAATTTAGTTTAGAAAAAATTGGCCAAGTAAAACACAGCTGGATGGTTCACTGGTCACTTGGTTGTACTCAGGATTCAATGAAACTGCAGATGAAAAATATCCTATTTTCTCACAATTTTCTTACAATTTAGAGTTTCCAACAGTCACAGTCTAGTGGGATACTATCGTAAGGTAGCTGGGAAAGATAACACCAAATAAACAAATGGAATTAAAACAATCAAGCATACATTGACTCACATAATTGAGCATTTTGAACAAGTAGGTATCCATTGTTTTATTCCATTGTAAGCTGCTTGTATCTTAAGGTTTTCAGTTTAATTTTCGTGCTCAGGACTGTGCCATCTAAACTGGAATTTGTGCTCAATTTTCACTGGACAGCATGTAATAACAAAACATAGAAAGAAACGGTGGCTTCATAAATAAGACCCTTAAACCACAAAATGAAACAGCAATAATCTCACGGATTATATTCCAGGTGTTCAGGATGACTCATATGGGTTCTGCATCTGGTTGCTTTTTTAAGATGTTGGTGTTTTCAGTCTGCATCACAGCAGCAGTCAGAATAGAGACCTTGAACAGTTTTCAGCTGTTTTTTTTAGCACCCAGTTTTTACCCATTCTGAGCATTTATATAAACAATAAATTGCTTTATGAAACTTGAAATGTCAATCATTAAGTGGAAGCAAATATTTGCAGATGTTCAAGTACGAACTGAGAAAATCATCAGGGGACGTCATACGTGAATGGATAATGACACATCCTTAAATATAACGAAACAAGAGCTAAGAAGAACCTTTTAAAAACTTTAAACTAATTTTTGTCATAAAGGGCTTAAAAGATGTTGAATCAAAGAATATATAAATTTGTGGTAGAAAAATATTTAGATATTTAATTTATTTTCTGTCAAATAAACACCATTCTGCTACTATTAGCATCTAGCTAGCTTTTAGCTACTTTTGCTATTTAACTCAAAATTTGCTATTTTTAGCATTTAGCTGACCTTTAGCTACTTTCACATTTTGGCTACTTTTTTGCTACTTTAACAAAGCTTTTTACTACTTTTAGCTTTTAGTTTACTTTTTGCTGCATTTAGCAAATCTTTTGCTAGGTGGAGCAGAGGTTCGAGTAGGTGGGCCTGTGATCGGAAGGTTGCCGGTCAACTCCCCGGACTGACAACATCAAAATGTGGGTGGGAAAGGTGAAACATCCACACATGCCTCCAACCTCATTTACCCCACTCTGGGCCCTTGAGCAAGGCCCCTAACCCCCACCATCTGCTCCCCTGGATGCCCTAGATGGCAGCTCTCTGCTCCACACAGAGGGATGTGGTAGCTCAGTGGCTTGTGGTTGCATCAGGAAGGGTATCCGGCGTAAAAACAATTGCCAAGTCTTCATGCGAGTGAGTTCGTTGTAGCTACCCCTGAAGAAGGGAGCAGCCGAAAAGGAAAAAGAAGCAAATCTTTTGCTACTTTTAGTATCTAATAAGCCTTTTACTAATTTTAGCTTACCTTTTGCTGCTGTTAGCTAGTGTTTATTTTACTTTCAGCTAATGCTTTTAAATTGGTAATTTCTAATCAGACTTTTTTACTTTTAGTTTTAAGCTAGTGTTTTGCTACTTATAGTTTTAAGCGAACATTTAGCTACCTCATTCATTTAGCTAGTGGTTTGCTTCTTGTGTTTTATCGGCTCAGCTTCAGCTTGTTTCCTTGAATTTCAGCGGCCTTTCAGCACTCAGGATTCACGTCGCATTTCTGCAGAAAATGCGTTTGCCTTTTATTTTGATAAACGTGGTTTAAAAAAATAAAAAGGTGATCTAGGGAAGCTAACCCTGATGTGTTGTGACACGAGTGTCTGGCTGCTTTGGTAAAGGGCGAGCTCATTTGAATTAGGACGTCTGAAGCTGTCCGTCAGCTGTTTGGACCGATCTCGTCCTCCTGTCGGTTGTCTTCCTGAGATACGAAGCATGTGAATCGATACTGAAAGGAGCTGCTGTCGCTCTGATTCACTTCTGTGATTGATGACGAGACCAGAAAGAATTGAGGGCAGGCAGGTCACAGCGGGAGGTGGAGACGGACAGTGTTGGATCCATAATGTCTGTAATCTCTGAAGTTTTGCAGCCAGTCCTCGGAAAAATAAATAAATAAATCACAGATCCAGAGATGCTGTGTTGATAGTTTGCTGTTGAAGTGAGATTAATGAATAAAAAGTGGTGAAGAGTACGCAGCTGTCTAACAAATGGTCAAAAAGCACTTCGCACTTCTTGAAGTGGGCGTACGTAAGAGCAAGAAGAAAAAAGATTGAGAGATGTCCAGATGGACAGGAAGGGATATAGGAAGAGAGCAGGAGGAGGGAGAGAGAGGAAGAAAAGGAAAGAACCGTAGTGAGAGGGATGTGACACATTTAGGTCATGGAGATGTAATGGCCACTCGTCTGTGAACAAGTGACAGAAACCGCAGGGGGAGAGAAAGGGGGAGTGTGGGGGGGAGATATAGGAAGAGACTGGAGGATAGAAATATGTAAGTTAATGAGTCAAAGAGCTGAGAAGGCAAACATTTTTATTAGGCATGAAGAAGAAAGAGCAGTTTTATGACAGGTTTTCAGTGCGTTCACAGCCTCTAGTTTAACATTTACAGTCAGAGCTCGTCTGTTTTCTGCGTCTGGCTGTTAAATTCTGACAAATTATCCTTTAAAACAAGTGGACACGTTGCTGCTGCTGCCCACGCTGCTCCGGCCTTTTGTTCCAGCTCTCGTTTGATTGTTTTGTCGATCACTTCACTGACTAATGACGCGGACTGGCATCGTTACGTTGTCCTCTCTGACTTACTGGGAATGTTGAGAAAAAGGACAGATGGTTAGCTGGCAGTGCAATCATCAAAGATTATTAACGGCAGCCGATCCGACCTAAAGCACTGGAGGTTCTTAACTACATTTTGTTCTTGTTCGAATTCGAAATCATTTAATAATGATGAGTCAGCATTGACACTTGTTGTCCTGTTCATACTTTGTGCTATTTTTACCTTTCGTGTAGCAAAATATTCAGCTCCAACAGGATTAGCGTG